GTGTTCAAATACTTCCTCGCTGAAAATTAAAGTACACTTGAGTGGAACGAAAAAAAAGGTGCAAAAGCAGAAGCACAGCCTTTGTAGAACTGTGAAGCAGAAGTCTTGAATTTTCGGGCAAGAATCACATGGTGTTAACGATGGCTTGAAGAAGTCAGCAGAGCCATCTACCAGGAAATTTGAAAGTATCTCATGCATTCCCTCCATTGATGGGATAAAAAAAATACTAATTTATTTTCCCAGGAGGGACTGATCTCCTGGTAACAGAATAGAGTTATACTTACACCTTGTTTAATAAAGATGATGTTGCAGAACTGGACCAGGAAGCAGATGTATCTAACCTAAACCTTGAAGTGTGAGGGTTTGACCCAGAAGGCCCAGCGTTCTGCAGCATTTAGATGTCCTTGAATCAAACCATTAGATACATCAAGCTGCTATCAGACAACTAATCATTTAATTGAGGTGTAAAGAAAGGATTTAAAAAAAAAAAAGATGAGAGATGCTAGACTTGACTGTGCAGATGACCAGAATGTCACCATTAAAGCAAGCCGGTCTTCATAGCTGCAGGTCTTCATCACCAAAAGCAGAGCCAACCAATCACAGAATCAAGAACATTTGTTGGTATTGTTTTTATTATTTTTTCTTCTTCTGAGAAACAGAACAAAGACAACGTCTTCTCAGAATTTGCCTTTAAGGACGCAGCAGCAACCAGAAGCATTTTTAGCTCTAAGTAGATGGTGAGTGTTTGTCGTGGCATTCAGACAGAAACAGCTGGGGGAATGATTTAGGGGGAATTTGATCAAAAAAGAAAGTTGCTGAATTTAGTGAAGTTAGTGGGATTTGACCGGCTGCTGTGACTGAGCTTGTGTATTTCTGCTTATTTGGTTTGTTTCCCCTCTTAACTGGATGTTTGGTAATAAGCTGTGCCTGCTCACTGGTCGGGATTGGATTCACAGACGCTTAAGGGTCTGTTGTTTTAACACCAGCGATGAGTTTGAGGGCAGAGAGGGAATTTTTGACAAAAATCCACTGGTCTGTGGTCAAAGCTAAGGAGAGGAAGGGGTCTGGGAATTCCCTCTACAACACATCTCTCCTTTGTTCTTCTTTGTGCAAATCTGTTACATCCCTCTACTGGCTACAGAGCAGTAAAAGAGATAGAAAACACTGCAAAACACAGTCATCTTTAATATCTGATTTAAATAAAAGCTTTTATCAAATGTTTTCTTTTTACCAGGTTGAATCGTTCTTATCATCTTTGTGTCATTTTCTCCTCCAGTCATCCGCCGCAGTTAAAGGACCAGGGAGGTCCTGGCGTGCCTCCGCAGGCGCTGTCTCCCGCTCAGTTACCCGAAGAGGCCGAGTGTCTGACAGTGCCCAAATACAAAAGGGACCTGGTGCAGAAGCTGAAGATTCTCCGGCAGGAGCTCTCTCAGCAACAGCCCCAAGCTGGCCACTGCCGCATCGAGGTCAGCCGAGAGGAGATCTTTGAGGTAAATGCTTAAATTACACCGTTTAGACGCACCAAGCACATCTGCGGACGCTTTTATACATTAGTTTAAGAACAGCGAAATATTTAATGCATCACTTGTCAGACCTGATTTAACCTAACCAGACTACTTAAGATGATTTCTTTTTTTTTTTTTTACATCGCCAGGCGTTGCCCTGAGCCATACAGACCCACTGTTTGAGATTTTCTGTCTCATGATTTCCAGAACCCAGCAGAAAGGGAAAGACTCCCTCAACACCCCACAGATATTACCATTCGTTTTCTTCTTCTCCTTCTGGTTCCTATTCTTGTTCTTCCAGTCGGCATTCCTTCTGCGTGATTTCAGCAGCTAAAGCAGTGGGGGGGTGGAGAGGGCGAGGAGAGGAGTGAAGACAGCAGTTGCGAGTATTTGCTGCTGAATATAAGTTCTTAACTACAAGCTGAGCTATGAAAGCTATGACTTCATCCCGCTTTGACAGACGGGGGGGAAAAGTAGGAAGTTCTCAAACCTGCTCTGCAGACTGTCTTGATGTTTTCAAGCAGGAACCGGTGGTGCAGGTTTCTGACGGCAGAGCCACTGCAGGCCCCTGGTGACGTGTGCGAAAAATTATGCACACTTAGGATATTATTGCTCCTGACTGCTGTTGTGACTTCATTAACCTGATATCTTACGTAACTCAGAAAGCTCTGAAATTGAAATATGTTTTAGGTTAATGATAATTTTAAAAGTAAGAATAATGTCCAATGTCCATCTATTTTTCTACTCATCTGTTTTTGCATTGAGCCACCCGTCCTTCAGCGTCTGCTTTCTCTAAACAATGAAAGCTATTATTCACAAATACATACGTGATATTTGTATTTCCTGAAGATTCTCTATAGGGCTGAAACAATCAGATTAATTGTAATTAATCTATTATTGAAATAATCTTTAACTAATTTAGTAATCAATTAACTGGAGAATAGAGACTGTAAAAACAGAGCAACCCACTCAGAGCAGTAATTATATCAATAATTTTAACATTTTGCATTTAAAATAAAAATTAAAAACATTTTTGTCTGTCAATCTGCTCTGTCCAGAGCTCCTCAACTGGAAATATTTTAGTTTTACCTGGTTTAAATTCATAAAAATCTTCTTTAAAGATTCTTTGGCTATCTGATTATTAATCGATTAATTGAAAAAAAAAAAAATCAACATAATCGATTTGCAAAATAATCTTTAGTTGCAGCCCTAGTTCTTTAGAAAAAAAAAAGGAACTCATGTTCTATGAAAGTTATATTTTTATGACTGTATTATGTTCCTTATTTCTGCACACAAACATGGTCAGCAATTTGCCAAAATTAGATTTAAAGAGTTGAGTCTATAAAACGTTAAAAAAAAATGTCTTTGTCTCTCATGATCCCACAGCTTTCTATGGAGAATTTATCCAGTTTGATATCATCTAAACTTTAACCAACTAGGGATGCAACAATCCTGATTTTTTTCATCTCAGATCCAATTTCAATTTTAGACTTTTCTGATACCAAGACTCCAGTTTCCTGAATGTTTTTATCAATGCTGTTAATATGTGTGTGACAGTATATATGTAAATACACACTTGGGATTAGTCTGAGGTCAGAATAGGAACTTTAAAACAATAAATTTTGTTGAAAGGATAAATTCCACCCTGCAAACAAATATCAGCTGTACTTATTTATTAATTTATGACCTTTATTCGAAGAGGTAAAGCTTCTCTGAATAGAATCTCCTTTTCAAGAGAGACCTGTCAAATGTGAAAAAAAATCTGAAACGATACTAAAGTCTTTATATGATTTATAGATGCTCACAAAGGGTAAACCTCCCTGCTGTTTAGATTTTTAACTTGAAATTAACTAAACATATATTAATTTTTTTTATAGAAATAGACTGAGCAGACACGCCCCTATGGATCGGGCCTGTTTAAACCGATAAATGATTTTTCTTTAGTATCTCTATAACTAGATCTAATGACATCAGGCTTCGACACACAGGGCCAAAGGGGTCCAGGGCCCCTGCAGAATAGTTCCCTGCCCTGTTATGGCCCCTGTAGTGACAGCAGCATACTAAATCAATCCATAACGAGGAAATAATCAGGCAAAGAAACCCTAACGGATTTGATCTCAGATCAATTTCTGATTTGACCTTCAGAGTTTTACTGTAATACTGATTTAAAAATAAATTGAATGCATTAAGAACCTGCAGCTCCAGAGCATCAAGTGGTTCTTTGACTATGAGGCAAACGTTAAAAAGATGTATCTCACCCCACCCTGGCCCTCCTACTAAACCTGTGCAGACGTATATTTGATATCGTAAGCAATATTTTAACACTTGGTGTTTTGTTGTCTTGAAATTTTAGCACTATTCATTATATAGTAATAGTTTTCTGTGTTGAATTTCAGGAGTCGTATCGGCAAGTGATGAAAATGCGTCCAAAGGATCTGTGGAAAAGACTGATGATCAAATTCAGAGGAGAGGAAGGATTGGACTATGGAGGAGTAGCTCGGTAGGTTGTTGCTGGTTCGACATACGTTTAAAAGCTTTGACTTAAAACGACGAGGCTAAATCAAACTGCGTTTCAGGGAGTGGTTATACCTGCTGTCACACGAGATGTTGAACCCATATTACGGCCTGTTCCAATACTCCAGAGACGACATCTACACTCTGCAGATTAACCCAGACTCTGCCGTCAACCCAGTGAGAAAACACAGTGTCTTATGTGGTCAGACTATCTGTATCTAAACAAGACTAAGATTTATCCAAATGCTAATAAGATATCACCATGGTGATAAGTGTCTATTTTTGATTGACTGTTATTTAAGAGGTTTAATCAGAATCTAGATAAGCAGTGTCTTTATGTTGTGATCCTCTGTAATCTGCAGGAACACCTGTCCTATTTCCATTTTGTGGGTCGTATTATGGGCATGGCGGTGTTTCACGGCCACTACATCGACGGAGGCTTTACGTTGCCGTTCTACAAGCAGCTGCTCGGAAAACCAATCACGCTGGACGACATGGAATCTGTCGACCCCGACCTCCACAACAGCCTTGTTTGGATCTTGTAAGAAGGAACATATTTTTTCATCAGACGTCAAGCATAGCTGCCGGCGGTGTCGCATATAAGGCATTTTAATCAGTATTTCCCAGTGTTTTGTTTTTTTTATTCAGTGTTCGTGGTGAAAAGTAGAATATGAAGGAATTACTCCAGGAGTACGTTAGAGGAGTCTAAATACTTACAGCTTAAAAAAGGATTTGTTTTTTCTACAATTTGTTTCAAGTATTTATTTACATTCTTACTCTTTTAATTAAGATTTTCCTGCAACCTACATCTATTTGGATTAACATTTCATGTAGGGGAAAAAATAAAAAGCAAAGCTGTTAACTTTTTGTCTCATAAAAAGAAAACGATAAATTAACTCTTTGAACTGTAGCGCCCTCTGGTGTTGAGGTTGTGGAACATCAAATATACAGCAGTTAAAAAGAAGCCTCTTTTGTTTTGTCACTGACTGATAGTAAATACTGCTTTTATTATCCAGATAAGATTAATAATCATCAGTTAATCTAGTAATTCAAGCTTAAAACACTTTGCAGAGATGATTTAAGCAAATCTTTCAGTCAGATTGGTTAACCATTTTCTATCAAAGGAAAAGTGTACAA